CCCTAAACCCCTAAACCCGAGACTCCTCAACTCGAGGCCTTAAAACCCCTAAAGCCTCATCCGGAAAGTTGATTTTCAAAGCCAAGCTGCTAAGCCTGTGCCTCCGAAAATCTTGCCTGAGTCATGGTAGAGTGTACCGCAACCTACCAAAACCTACTTGTCTGTTCACTCGTTTTAACAGCCTACACCGAAGGTGGGTTATGGTAGTTCATGGTATTCTGTAGTCTAGACCCTGAACCCCAAACCATGTAGGGTTTAGGGTTTAGGGTTTACTCTAAACCCTAAACACTAAACCCTAAACCCTAAACCCTAAACCCTAAACCCCAAACGCAGCATTTCTTAATGAACGGGTTTGGAGTCTCTGGGAGCAGGACGGCCTTCCTTCTGCCAGCAGCTATCGTGTTCTGGGGAGGCGCTCCTTCCCCACAGTACGCCTTGAAAGTCTGGTTTAGGGTTAGTGGTGTTTATGGTTTGGGTTCAGGGGTCTTAGGGTTTAGGGTTTAGGGTTTCGGGTTTAGGGTTTAGGTTTAGTGTTGTTTATGGTGTAGGTTTAGGGGTCTTAGGGTGTAGGGTTTATGGTTAGTGGTGTTTATGGTGTAGGTTTAGGGGTCTTCGGGTTTAGGGATCTTAGGTTTGAGGGTTTAGGGTAAGTGGTGTTTATGGTGTAGGTTTAGGGGTCTTAGGGTGTAGGGTTTAGGCCTAGTGGTGTTTATGGTTTAGGTTTAGGGGTCTCATAAGTATCAGTTATTAGTCATTAGGTCATCCGGGTTACCGCCTCACCCGGACCCCTCCAGCATTGATGGGTTTTTGGGGCTTGTGGACATTGCCGGTAGCCCCAAAGCTTCAAACTGGTAAGTTGTGACCTCTTCGAAATTGTAGGGAAGATCCCTTGAAGCAGTAATTGAACCCCAAAGAACCTGCTTTTTCAGGGCTCCTTATCATGATTTCTTTATATAAGTCCTTGAAAAGGTAGGTTATTTGGGATTAAGGCAACCCATACGAAAGGAATGCCCCCACAAGAGTCATCGACGAAGGGCTCCTCCGAAACCCTAAGCCCTGAAAGCCTAAACCCTAAACCCTAAAGCTTAACGCCCTAAAGCCTAAATACTCGGTGTGCCCTATTGGTGAAGGAAGAAAAGACTAGGGTTTGGGGATGTCTGGTTTAGGGTTTAAGGCTTAGGGTAAAACTCTGAGAATAGAAGCTTGAAGCCTTGGTACTACTGTGCCAGCGACTTAAGTTGTTGTATAAGAGCCCTTCAAACCATTGTTCTATGATGAAGGTTTCTATACCAGAGCCCCACATCGCCGTACAAATCCTGAAATCTGAAATTTAATCCTGAACCCTAAACCCTAAATCCTAAACCCTACATCCTAAACCCTAAACCCTAAATCCTAAACCCTAAACCTGAACCCTACACCCCGAAGATCACCTTCAAACTCCGTAGCCCCGACCTTCCGAAGGTTTTTGGTTCCATGCAGCGTTTTATTTCAGGGTTCTAGAAGGCTTTATCCTGAAATCTGAACCCTAAACCCTAAACCCTAAACCCTAAACCCTAAACCCTAAACCTGAATCCTACACCCCGAAGAGGATTCTGTAAGGCTTTATAATATGAATGAAAGGTGCGGGATTCCTTTGACGATTCCTTGGAGGGTTCCTTTCGGGTTCCTCGAAGGGTTTAGGGTTTAGGTTTAGGGTTGAAGATGCGATGGAGCCGTACCGTTTATGAGGCTATAGATTTTCGAGCGGGTCTTTGGGCTAGAAGGATCTCATTCACGAATGTTTTTTAAAGGCATTAAATTAAAAGGGCCAACCTATATAGGGTTTAGGGTTTAGGGTTTAGGGTTTAGGGTTTAGGGTTTAGGGTTTAGATTCTCAGGTTCAGGGATTCAAGCCATTGGTTCAGAATTCATGGCTTTCTTGAACCGGAAGCAATCTACAATGTTTGGGGCTGCTCGCTTTGGCCTCCTGCTTCCTTTCTCTATAAGTCCGAAGAAAGGTAGGTTTTTCGGAGTTAAGGTAGGACTGTTGACTGTAAGGTTCAGGTTCTAGGGCAGGGTTGGGGGTCATAGGGCTGCGAATCTCTTGCTTCAGGTGGCTTGTGCCGTGCGACAGCGTGGGGCACTCACGGCGGTGTGGCGTTTGAAACAGCGGCTTGTGAGAGGTGTTGTCACTTTTTAGGAGGGGTGTCGAGTTCAGGGCAAGGATGTTTCAGAGGTTTAGGGTTTAGGGTTTAGGGTTTAGGGTTTAGAGTTTAGGGTTTAGGGTTTAGGTTTTAGAGTTTAGGGTTTAGGGTTTAGGTCTGTTTTTGGCAGATCTTGCCCAGAAATTCAAAAGCCGAGTGCTCGCTAGCCTGAAGCTTACGAGGGCTTACAACCAAAACGTTCAGACCCTAAACCCTAAACCCTAAACCCTAAACCCTAAACCCCAAACCCTAAACCCTAAACCCTAAACCCTGACTACTTTTGTGATCCTTGCGAACATCGCTGGGGTGTGTTTTTTCGCTCGTTACTCGGACAAACCAGCCGTAGCATCCCTTGTGCCCGAAGACATGGCGTGCCTGCTGCTTCCCCTCTTCGCAGCGGTCATCGGCGGCCTACTTGGTGGACTTGCTCAGGGGCGTCCACCACAACCAGCTCGTCAACGCCGTGTTCATTGGGACGACCAATGGACGGACCAGAGGGATGGCGACCACACGTATGAGGACTGGGGGCGTATGGAACCTCATCCTGAACCTGCGGCGGGAGGAACCAACAGCTGGCAAACGACCCCTACGTCAAACCTGGGGCCTGGCCAATGGGGTGCTGAATGGACTCCCTCCACATGGGTGGCCCAAAGTCGTGGACAATGGGGAGATGACTGGTCAACTTCTTCGTGGAACCCCTCCTCAGCCTGGTCCTCGTGGAGCACACCATACACATGGACTTCCTCACCTGCTTCCTCCTCTTGGACATCCTGGACAGCGGCGCCTTCGGGAACCCCTCATCGTCCTTATGGCATGACCCGAACAATGGGTGGACAGCTGCGCCTACGGGATCCTCCTCATCGTCCTCCTGGCACGACCAGTACAATGGGTGGACTGCGGCGCCTACGGGATCCTCCTCGTCCTCTTCCTGGTACGACCACAACAATGGGGAGTGGCAGCAACCTGGGCAGCCACACACGGAATACAATGACCAGCACCTGTGGGGTGGCAACGAACACCGGAGCACACCACGACGAGCACAAAGCCCTGCCAACGACAACCGGGATGCACCACGTGAACGTGAACAACATGATGACCGTCGCTTTCTACATGTACCTGGTTGGGGTCGTGGTGCCCCTCTTCATGCGCCTGAACACAGAGCTCGAGGCTTCTATCGTGACAACCAATGGGTTGACAGACCAAGAGACGATTGGGAGGAGAGGCTACATCGTGGAGGGGGTGGCGAAGTCCGCACACAACGTCGTGAAGGACGACAACGACAATGGGACGAAGGTTCGTTCCGACCGGCAACCTTCTGGCAAGCCTACAACCAAGGGGCGAACTATGTGATTGACAATGTGGCAAGACGCGAACTCAGGGAGGTCCTCCGCAATTCTGATCCGTACAGAAGAACGACACCTGTCCCTCCCTCGGAACCAAGTTCGAGCTCGGCACACAGGGGTGACAGCCAGCATCTCCAACACCAATGGCGTAGTCGAGCTGAATCTGGCACCATTAGCTCGCCCTGGTGGACACTGCAACAGTGGAAAGACTGGGGTGACTGGCACCAGGCGCCGAATCCTCAGCCTGCCCTTGCCGCTGACGTCGGGGTGGACTGGTCTGGAGTTGGTTTGCCATCGGTGGAGGACATTCTTCGGTTGTGGTCCGTGGTGGGTCAATGTGGAGGCGGGACTACCACGACGACTACCTCTGCCCACTCTGAGAATCGGGATGTCAACGGTGAGTCTTCCTGCTCGACGACCTTGCCGCACACTGGGACGTCCTCTTCTTTGCCTCCGACTACCACTACCCTCGAGGATGCGGACCACGAAGAAGTGGCGATGATGCAACGGGGAGCACCTGATCCGGTTGACAACAGGAACGCCGACGACGACACAACTACTCACACCTGGCGTCTTAGTGATGACGAAAGGGATGACCTTCTTTCTGTGGGGTGGAGTGAAAACATGATCTCGGACCTCGATGCCATGCTCGACTTCCTGCACGACGTTGGCGAAAACTGCGGGGTGGACCATGTTGCCTGGGCGCTTGGGACGTGGGCTCACAGTAACATCCTTGCTGAGACCACCGTGGAGTTAGTCAACGACGTGATGTTCTGCCGTGTTCAAGGGGTGCCAGAAAACCGCCCGTATGAATATGGGACAAGGGGGCGCCTGTGCGCTGGTTTGGCTGGCTTCCAAAAACAGCTTGGGACGTTTCAATGTGGGTTGGTCCAAAGGCGGCTACAGGATGCCTGGTTTACAGCTGAGGACATCGGTGAACCGCCTCCTCGTCCTGCAGCCGGAGACATGCTCCAACGTGACAACACCGCAAGGGCGATGAGTGTTGCTCGCCAAAGGGCGAGAGCGATGATTGTGCGGGCTAGGGCAATGTGCGCACAACAAACACGCGACCAACCAAGGGATGGACAACAAAACACTGGGGCGAGCTCCTCGACTGACCCTACTCACACCACTGGGGTGAGCTCTGCAGCAGGCCCTATAGCTTCTGATGCAGCACCAGCGACAGGAACCGTTGGGGTGCAAGGAGTCCGTCGCCCTCGTGAACCACGCCCTGACGAGGAGGACACCGACGCTGAGGACAATGGGATGGATGATGCCAACTCCCTGATGCAGCTCACGCCACATGAGGAAGAACTGCTACACTCCGTTGGGGTGGACGACCGGATTCGTCGACAACTTCGTGACCTTCTTCGTGGACTATGTGAACAAGAAGCACGTGGACATGGGGCGGAACACCGTTGGGGAGTTGCACAAGTCGTTGAGGCAGCTCGCCATGCTGAAGGGGTGACCCGCACACTTGTGGACATCTTGGAAAGACGAACCCGCCCGTCGCCTATGATGACATGTTGGCCTGCTCAGCGCATCCCTCCTTACGGGGTGGTTCGCTCTCGCTTGGCGGCCTGGCTACACCAGTATAGGCACGCCCTTGTCCAGAACTACCACCTGGAGTTCGGGGCGAACCTCTTGGACCTCACGGGGTGTCCCCCTGCTGGTGCTCCCCATGGACCTGACGTGGCTGCAGGTGATGCTCGACGTGAAAACCTTCCTAGGGGGCGTCGGAGTGGTCTTCCAAGGGGCAGCCGCTCCCGGTCACCACCCCGTCGAGTCACCGTCTCTCATGGGGGGACTGGTTCTGAAGAAAGTGCCACCATGGGGCGTGAACCTCCTGGCCTTCTCCCGCCTGGGGTGGACAAACACTGCTATCTCCTCACCGGGAACCACTGTACCCTCTGCGGCGACAAGGGATGATCACCTTCTACCAATGGGCCCTGCTCTACCTGGGGATGCTCTAGGTGCAGAAGTGGTTGGTCCTGTTCCTCCTGGCGGCGACGATTCGGTTCTACCTGCTCATGCTGCTCTACCTCGGGGTGACGCTGTAGATCTACCTACACAAGCTGGAGAAGGAAACCTGTTCCATTTTCCTTCCACTACGAGAATGCAACTGGGACAAGCTTTCAACGTTGCCACGGGGGATGGACAACATGCTCCTTCGCTCACCTCTCCTGTTCCTGGAGAAGACGCTGGTATGCTACCTGTTCAAGCTGCTCTTCCTGGGGGTGAAGCTCATGACCTACCTGTACAAGCTGGGAGAGAAAGTTCGCCTGCCAACTCAACCACATTAGGGATGTCACTGGCACCTGCCTTGGATGTTGCTCAATCGTCGTCTTCTCCTGCTCTACCTGGGGGTGAAGCTGTCGTCCTACCTGTACAAGCTACGCTACCTGGGGGTGATGCTCTGAATGTACCTGTGCCAGCTGGGAGTGGAAGTTCGCCTCAGGTTCCACTACAAGAAGTGAGCCATACTGGATGTGAACCTGAGGGGTGAAAATGAGCTTTTGTAGTGAGGGGCGATACTGAGTTTGAGTTGAAATACACTGCCTGTACAAGGGTTGTCTTTTGCCATGACTCAAGCAAAATTGCTTGACATGTTTGGGGTGTTCCCCCCTTGGTGTACGCCTCGACGAGGCAGGCGTGACGCGCAAACTGTGTGAAAGGCCGTTGCACTTTAAAAAAAAAAACCCTTAACCCTAAACCCTAAACCCTTAACCCTAAACCCTAAGCGCTGCCGGTTCTTCACCTCAGGGCGGAGTGTGATCTGCAGGGCTGTGAGAGGACACCACGAGGTTGACTCCTGAGGTGGACTTGAGAAACCTAGAGATGGGTTCAGGGTTTATAGGGTTTAGGGTTTAGGGTTTATTGTTTAGGGTTTAGGGTTTATGGTTTAGGGTTTAGTGTTTAGGGTTTAGGGGCCTTGAGCATCGATCGGTTATCTCCGGCCTCTTTGAAGAACTCGAGCCCTTGTAAGGTTCTACTCTGTAGGGAAATATCCAGCCACTTTGAAGAACTCGAGCCCTTATAGCAAGGTTTTACTATGTAGGGAAAGACCTGGTTAATATACTCCCAAACCCCAAACCCTAAACCCCACGTGCCAAGGAGGCGACCAGGTTCTGGGGGAGACCCCGGTGGCTGCGCCCTCACACGCTCTGGTCTTCCGTGGTTCAAAGGGTTCCTTTAACGGGAGCCCGTTTATAGAATCCTATAGTACGTACCCCCTAACTGCACGACTCGAGTCTTAGGTTGTAGGTTTTTTTTCGAGAGCACCTGTAAATTAAAGTTCTTTTACGGTTCAGTTAATTAAGGGTTCCTATTGAAATGCATGTCAGAGGGTCTAAGAGTTTGTTTCAGGATTGGTTTTGTCGGGTTTCCGGGTACTGGGGTTTGGGGATATGGGGTTTGCATTGTATATATATATATATATATATATAGGGCTCAGGGGACTTGAAATGCGGAAGACAGCTGGAGAAAGCACACAGAAAACAGATCCAGGCACACTACAGAAAAAAAGCCACCAGTGCCCTCAACCTATACCCGATACCTACAAACCACAAGCCTAATATAGGGGCCTAATTAATAATTACCTATACTGTTTTGGGGTTTTTATCATGATTATAGTATAATCTACCCCAAAAACTTAGTCTAATTATTAAAGCTCCTACATTAAATCAGCTTGGTGTGAAGCGTGTGTAGAGCTAAGAAGGCAGGCGGACCATGAGGCCGTCCCGACGCAGCGAATGATTATGTAAACTATCACGTAAGTGGGGTTTAGGGTTTACGGCTTCTGCATCCCATCAGTCTGATATCCCTTATGGATTGCTAGGTCCTAGAAGGGTTCCAAGGTTCAGAACAAAACCTGTAACCCTAAAAAGTGGGGTGACCCTCAACCCGAAAGCATCAAACCACACAACAATTCCCACCGTCAGGCACACTGAAGTCGCAGTGTTGCACGTAGTTAGTCTTCTAGTGGTTGCTTCGGGACAGCCGCAATGGATGAGTGCATAGCTCATAAGCCATCCAAACCGAAACCCCATACCCTAAACCATAAAAGCCAGTTAAACCCTAATCAGGCCCTAATCACTACAGCCCTAAATCATTACAAACCCCAAACCGTCTTAGTGAAACCAAGCCTGCTTGGGGAGGGGGGTTGCGCTCTCGCAAGGTCACTGGTTTTGGTTTCCGATTCCGAGCTCAGGGTTTGTGGTAACCGGCCAGTGCATTCCTCAACACGAGCAAACCTTCCTTCCTTTTTGAGGAGTTATGTAAGGAAATCATATATGGCAAAATGCAGTCAGTAGCAGCTGTCAGTCATGTCGGATTAGTTTAGGTCATCAGGTCGGTTGTGCTCGGTTGAGGGTTTGCGCTTGCTGTGTGGGCGCCACGTCCTGCCAGACTTGCTTTGCAGGAGCTAGTGATCGTTGGGGTAATTTTGAAAGTAGGCTCGCATGGTGCAGGTCTGAATTTGCAAATCTACGTTTTCGGTCGCACAGTGGAGTGAGATGCAGCATATACTCGAAATTTCAAGCCCCGTATGCGGGTTGTGTCGGAAGCTGAAATGGCTGAACCAAGTGAAATAGCACGGAATTGTCCTTGTTGGAGACAGGTAGACCAAAAGTTATGGCGATGAAGGCATCTATGTTGACAATGCACGGTTCTGCCATCGCGTCGTCGCCCTGCGCTTGTTGCCGTTTTAGGTTCTGGTTGAAATGCTATAAGGGCTGCTCTACGCTTACGTTCAGTTTCTTCTGTTACTACTGCTCCGTTCCGTCTTTGTTGCTTCAAAATTCGCCAAGAATTCCACGATTCCAGAACCTATGGTGTGGAATTCAGGAAAACTAGGGAAGTCTTGTAGCCCAGCTTTCGAGAACCCTAAACCCTAAACCCTAAACCCTAAACCCTAAACCCTAAACCCAAGCAAGTCGGGTTGGGGAGCTCCACCACAGCCGCCTATTCGCCAAGCGCCTGAACTCTTGGTCTTTTCGGCCCCAACCCGTGGGCATCAAACCAGAAGGCTAAACACAAAACCCTAAGCCCTAAACCCTAAACCCTAAAAACCCTAAACCCTAAACCGTAAACCGTCTGTAAGTCTGTATGTCTTGCAGGCTTGGCGGCCTCGGGCTTAAAGGGCCGCTACATCTTCATTGAAGGGCTTCAGGATGCTCAGCCAACCCGACAACATTGCGTATGCTTGAGTTTGAGAACTGCCCCTAGGTTTCTGAACCAGCCGCTGTCTATCCCATGGTTGCATTGTAGTTAATCTCCTCAAATGTCATCCTCCGAAACATTGAAAATTAACAAACAATCCTCCGAAAACACGATTTATCGGTCACCCACTTCCGGCCGCTTGCAGGGTTTGCGCCGAGGGTTCAAAGTTCAAAGGGCGATCTTTAGCGCATTTTTCGGTTTTGGTGGGTTTAGGATCCGCAGAGGCGTGCCGGAGAAGAACCAACCGCCGTATGCCCTGTATGTAGACCGCCCAACCCCAAGCCCAGGTTTAGCCTGCTGTTGGTCACCACTCAAACCGACAGGACTTCTGATAGCAAGACCATGTGTTGATTCTCCACAAATGTTTCAGACAGTGTGGTACACACCATAGGGTTGTTGGTTAGCGTGAACGCGCGTGTCACGCCGGGGAAGGGGAAACATTTCCCAGGACACGGATTCCACTGTGGCGCGGTGCATCGTTTGCTCCTTGTGGTCTCTTTGGTGGTCGGTCGTGGTCTCTTCGTGGTCGTGGTGGTCGTGGTCATCCTGGGCGTCATGGTGGCAGAGGTGGTCGTCGTGCTGCTCTGTCACGGTTTGACGCGTACTTCAGGTCGACTTGTCCTTCCTGTTGTCCGGCCCTGCGCTTTACCCATAGGCCCCAAAATAGTTCCTTTTGGGGTTCATATATAGAATCCTATAAGGTAATCCTAAAAAGGAACGACGATGGGGCCTATGGGTATAGCAAACCGCATCATAGCATTGCCGTTTTGTTCGGGGGGGGGAACCTGGCCACTAGTCTTACTGGCTTGCAGGCTTCGTTGTGATCAAATAATAGTTTAGGGTTTAGGGTTTAGGGTTTAGGGTTTAGGGATCATCCAAACTGTGTAAGCTCCTCTAAAGCCTGGTTAAAAGCCACATAACACCTTCAACAGGGCCAACGTCCTAAACCCGTAATTTCCAAGCCCAAAATATCACAGGCTTAGTTGTATAAACCCGAGACTCAGAATGCGGTTTGAATCCCATGTCACAAATCATACTTGAACCAAGCCCTACTAAATCGAGTATATTTGAGTCTGACCTCCTGCAAACCCTGAACGTGACACCCCGTCAGCCCTGTAAAATCCTATACAACCTTCTCAGGCTCCATAAACCTCGTAAACCTATAGCCTTACAGTCCCAACCCCTCTAACGCTCCAGCGGCCCATAGTATAAAACCCTGTGTGACCCTGCGGAAGGATGTTTCAGATTGCGGCCCACATGGCCTTCATCGGTCATCCTCTCGTCGCAGATCCAAGGCACGCTCGCTGGTGTGGTGGTTTTCGAGGGTCTCTTGGGTTTAAAGTTAGGGTATGTTAGGGTTGCGTTAAAGCAGGTGTTGTAGGGTTTTGGCGTTGCAGGATTGGCGTTTCAAGGAATGGTTGAAAAGGGCTTGACTCAACACTAAATCCGAAATCCCAAGCCCTAAACGCGTGCACATGACCCCATAACCCAAAACCCTAAACCCTAAGCCCATAACCCTACACTTCGACCTCACCTGACCCTTAAAAACTAGAGAAGGGCTGCGCGGGACGAATGTTTGAGTCTAAGGTTGAGGGTTCGTGGCTACAGTCGCAACAGGGTCGCAGCAGAATAGAAGCCTGACTGAGTGCCGAGACTATGCAAGAGGGTTCCTGTTAACCCTAAACCCTAAATCCTAAACCCTAAACCCTAAACTCTTTAACCCTAAACCCTAAGTCCACTACCTTAAAAAAGGACCCTACAAGGGACCCTAATTTCGAGAACTACCCTTGTCA